CCCCCTCTTCTTCTCCTCCCTACTTCCTCTTCCTTTCTCCTTCTCCTCCTCTCTTCCTCCCCCTCTTACCTTCACTCCTACTCTAATTTCCCTTCCCTTCCTTCATCCCTCTCTATTGCTGTATCCTTTTATGCATATGGACTACTCAGAGGGCTGAAAAAGTTATTTTTGACTGGTCCTCGCACTTTTGACCAGTCCTCGAACTTACGACTGTCTTCACATTTTACGTTTTTTGCTCTATCTTATCACCATGGTGAAGAGAAGCAGTTGTGAAATGAGTGACATGGTTGTTAAGGATGCTGCATGGGCATAAATGTGAGGATGGTCATAAGTGTGAGGACCAGTCAAAAGTGCGAGGACCTGTCAGAAATGACTTTTTTCAGCCCTCTGGTTAGTCCTTTTGTGCATATGGACTACTCAGAGGGCTGAAAAAGTTATTTTTGATTGGTCCTCGCACTTTTGACCAGTCCTCGAACTTACGACTGTCCTCACATTTTACATTTTTGCCCTATCTTGTCATCATGGTGAAGAGAAGCAGTTGTGAAATGAGTGACATGGTTGTTAAGAATGCTGCATGGGCATAAATGTGAGGATGGTCATAAGTGTGAGAACCAGTCAAAAGTGTGAACTGCTTCTCTTCACCATGGTGATAAGATAGAGCAAAAAACGTAAAATGTGAAGACAGTCGTAAGTTCGAGGACTGGTCAAAAGACAGGCAAACACCTGGGGGGGAAAAAAAGAATAAAAGTGCTTGGAGATGAGGTTGCTCTGTTGTAAATGTTGGGTCTCACTACTGCAACTTCAGCAGGGTTGGAGGCAAGCTACTAACTTTTAGTGTCAGCTGTGCCTGTGATTTTCTACAGTTTCTTTTTTAAAAAAGAAAAAAAAAGAACGCTGATTGGTACTCTGATAAGGCTTCCATTAGGAAAACCTCCCTCTGAGTCTCTGGAGAAAAAGCTGACCAGGGCAGGACCCCAGGTGGTACTCCAGAACACAGCTGCTTATAACCAGTTCCTGTTTCTGAGGAAACCGGTTACGGCGATGAGCATGACTTGAATACAAAGAAATGAGGAATAAATGATAAGAACTAAGAGAGAAAGATTTCCACTGAGACAGGAATAAACAGGGTAAACTGGCTCTAGGTGCCCCCTTCTCCCTCCCATTAGATTGCCAGATATTGCAAATAGAAACGGTATAAAGGTAAAAGTTCCTCTTGTGCATATGTGCTAGTCGTTCCTGACTCTAGAGGGCAGTGCTCATCTCCGTTTCAAAGCCGAAGAGCCAGCGCTGTCTGAAGACATCTCCATGGTCATGTGGCCGGCATGACTAAACACCAAAGGAGCATGGAACACTGTTACCTTCCCACCAAAGGTGGTCCCTATTTTTCTACCTGCATTTTTAAACCTGGTTTCGAACTGCTAGGTTGACATAAATTGGGACAAGTAATGGGGGCTCACCCTGTTATGCTACACTAGGGATTCGAACCGCTGAACTGCCGACGTTTCGATCGACAAACTCAGTGTCTTAGCCACTGAGCCACCGTGTCCCCACAGAAAAGGTATAGCAAGCGATCAAAATACAGGTAGTCCTCAACTTACAACAATTCATTTAGTGACCATTCAAAGTTACAACTACACGAGTTACGCCCATAACCACCCGCGCGGCCGTATTCTGGACCAGTTGGAGCCTCCGAGTGCTCTTCAAGGGGAGCCCCATGTAGAGAGCATTACAATAGTCCAGCCGGGAGGTGACAAGGGTGTGAGTGACCGTGCGCAAGGCGTCCCGGTCCAGAAAGGGCTGCAACTGGCGAATCAGGCGAACCTGATAAAAGGTCAGCATGCATCAATTAAACCATGTCACCAGGCACAACCAAGGAAATGGCCCTTCTCTGTCTCAACACCTGCCCTGTTTAAGTAAGCCCTTAAAGCTGTCTTTATTCCTAGGCTCTGGATTAGACCACTTATGGGATGTTTTTGAGCCTTTAATCAATTGTTGATTTTACCCATGCTTTCTTTTGGATTATATCTTCTTGCATTTTCATCATTCATTTCTTATCGCTGCATCCTGTAAGCCACCTAGATTCACTGAGGTGGCCAATCAATGAAATAAATAAATACCAAGTCATGAATTAGCCTTCCTGTGAAATGCATGCATAGCTTATGGAACCCACGGCCACAAGAGGTAGCAGTGGGGAAGGGATGGCTTTTAAAAAAATCCATCAATACTTAAATCATTTGCCAAATGCTATAATGAACCTATCTGGTCCAAGGATAAACCTATCTGCATAGAAACATTCATTAAAAGTGTGTGTTATTCTACCATGCTAAGGGTAAGAAATGGGTAGGTTGCTGCCTTCATGGTTTGTTTGTTCCTTTAAGTTGATTTTGATTCCTGGAGACTGCCTGGAGAGGTCTTGGCAAGGTTTTCTTGACAATTTTTTTGGAAAGGTGGTTTACCATTGCTTCTTTTCTAGGGATGAGAGCAATGACTGGCCCAACTCTAGAACTAGAACTCCCAGCCTTTTGGTTTCTACACCAAACTGACTCTCTCAAGCCCATCTTAAGAAGCACCAGTATAAAATTTAGCAACTAGTCGCTATCACAAGCAGGGGCCCAGGGTAGCAAGATCTAGCTTTTTCGGTTTATAAAGACTTAAGTTAACTCAAGGTTGAACCATGGTAGTTTAAGTCAGTGTATCTCAACCTGGGCAAATTTAAGCTCTGTGGAGTTTAACTCCCAAAATTCCCCAGCCAGCATTCCACTCTTTGTCTTCTTCTGCTCCTACTTATGGGTTTTCTGAAAGCGTCCAGTTGGTCAGGTGAGAAGCAGAAGTACTAGGTTATTTGGGGGATATTCTACTTATATCCCCTAAATCCAGTGGTAAAATCTGGCCGGATTTATCCGGCTCGCGCAAACCGGTAGTGCTGGCGGCAGGAGACTACGCCCACCCGCCGGGACATCATTACGTCCCATTTATTACCCTCTGCGCATGCACAGAAGGGCACATGCATTCCCATTCCTGAACCGGTAGCGAAGGTAAGTGGATTTCGCCACTGCATAAATCTCCATCTTACTGCACCCAGTTTTAGTCACCACACTATAAAAAAAAACGAGGCTGAGACTCTAGAAAGAGTGCAGAGAAGAGCAACAAAGATGATTAGGGGATGGAGGGTAAAACATACAGTATGAAGAACAGTTACAGGAACTGGGCATGGCTAGTCTAGTGAAGAGAAGGACCAGGGGAGACATGATAGCAGTGTTCCAATATTTGAGGGGCTGCCACAAAGAGGAAGGGGTCAACATATTTGGAAGGAGCCTGAGTGGCGTAGGAGGCTAATGCCTCCTACTAAGGCAGCATTTAACATCCAGCTGCCTGCAATTACTGCGAGTTCAATTCTCACCAGGCTCAAGGTCGACTCAGCCTTCCATCCTTTCTAAGGTGGGTAAAATGAGGACCCGGTTTGTGGGGGCAATAAGCTGACTTTGTATAAAATATACAAAAGTATGAAGGCTATTGTTTAATGCATTGTAAGCCGCCCTGAGTCTCCGGAGAAGGGCGGCATATAAAAATAAAATAAAATAAAATAAATAAAATATTTTCCAAAGCACCCAAAGGCCAGACAAGGAATAATGGATGGAAACTGACCAAGGAGAAATTCAACCTAGAAATAAGGAGAATTTTTCTGACAGTGAGAACAATCAACCAATGGAACAGAAGTTGCCTTCAGAAGTTGTGGGAGCTTCATCACCGGAAGCTTTGAAAAAGAGACTGGACTGCCATCTATCAGAAATGATGTAGGGTCTCCTGCCTGGGCAGGGGGGTTGGACTAGATGACCTACAAGGTCCCTTCCAACTCTGTTTTTCTGTTCTGTTCCATCTTAAGCAATAGCTGAGTCCCTTCCTAAGTCCTGTGCCTCTTGGAAGCATTGTGAACGGCAGTCAACAAATGGACTATGAGTGGGGGAAATAAACAAAACAGGCACACAAAGAAGCACTGAAGGATCAATCAAAGACTTGTTTGGAGTTCTGAAACCTTCGCGTGCAGCAGAAACCTTTGAGTTGGCATGATTGAATCAAATCTCTTTCAACTTCTCTGAGAAAGAAAAAGGCTTTTTAAAAAAAGTTCTAAACAAATAGACAGAACATCACAGTTAGCAGCATAGCAGCAGCTGAACCTTACATAAAGCTATTCCATCTTCCATTCAGAATCTCTGCTCTCCCCCACCACCTGCACTTTAGGCCCCACCTCTTTTATCTGCTGGCTAGCTTGCTGTCTCCAGAACTCATCTCTAAAGCTTGCTTAGAAGCAAAGTCATTCTTCTTAAGACATTGACAAAGAAGGTGCCACACCAGGCAGGTTGTGCCATTGCATAAAGACACGGGAAGAATCCATCAGCTTTCCACTTAGACAAGAATTGTTCTGTTTGGATTTGATCATCTCTGTCTCATACCTGGGGCAACTAGGAGGATTTCTGGAGCCAGATAACCTTTTGATGAAGTCGTTTCATTTTGCCAATCATCCAGGAGCTTAGAGAAATCCAGAATCTCGGAATCCCTCAATACAGGTGAACATACATGTTTTGTTTATTGCCTTGCTTTGGACCTCCTGCAGGCATTTAGGATCTTCAGAGCATGCACTTCGGAGGAGCATGACCCAGCTGCCTGCAATTTCAAAAAACAGCTGCAACTTTGAGTTGTATCTGCGTGTTGTGAAGTTTCTGGAACAGGATCAGTATGGATTTTGGACTCTATAAGTTACCACAGAGGAATGATGATTGTCACCACACTACGACATAAGTCTCCTAAGATATTCTTGAGTTAGAGTAATCTATTTTAGGCTTTCCTCCAAAGCATATCAAACATTCAAGGAGGGGAAACTTCAGTCTAAGAAAAGGCAATTCGATTCTGGTGTCTGGATCTACTCAACAATTGGGACATTTTGCTCTGAGTAAGTTGGAGAAGGGGAGCAGTCCATTTTGTTGCCATCTCTGTGCTCTTGCAAATGTGCTTCTAGACTAGAGCAACTTCTGCACCAGCTGGAACTGTCCAAAGTGCTGAAGCTGCCTGCCACTGGACATTTCTATCCCCTCTCAAGCACCTACAAGATCCAGATTTGAGATCGTCACCCATTTTGCAAGCAGATGAACCGTTCTGGGAACAAACAAAGCTGAAAAGTCCATGGTTCAGCTGGGAAAATAAAGAAGAATATGGTAGAGGAAGCACCCATCTCTGATTTCAACAAGTCTCACTTCTTTCTGAACAATTCTGCCTGCACTGCTGAGTTGTGCGCTAATGGCTCTGGGCCACCCACTCCCCCATATTTGATGGATGCCTGGCTGGTCCCACTCTTCTTTGCCATTCTGATGTTAGTTGGGCTATTGGGCAACTCTCTGGTAATCTACGTCATCATCAGACACAAGCCAATGAGGACAGTGACCAACTACTACATTGGTAAGACAATTTGGAGGCATTCGCATGGGGGAGGGTGGTAATGGAGGTAATGCTTTTAAACTGGGACCAACAACTAAATGAGATAGAGAGATTCAATGTAGTAGGAAGTTATTAGCTTCCTTAAAAATGTGAACATGGAAGTTGTAGCATAATGTATCTGGAGCAGCGGAGAAATCCCCCCCCCCCCAGTTCTATCTGGTTCGCCAACCCAGTAGCGCCGGTGGCGGAAGGCTCCGTCCACCCGCTGGGATGTCATTACTTCCTGTTTTTTTGCCATCTGCACATGCGCAGAAGAGGCGTGCGTGTTCCCGCATGCTCCCGTTCCCGAACCGGTAGTGAAGGTAAGTGGATTTCACCACTGATCTGGAGGGCACAGTTTGAAGAAGACTGAGCTAAAATAATCATAATCGTATCTTTCCATCCTCCCATTAGTACATTCATTATGGGAGGTTTCTAAATATCATAAATAAATAGTAAGCAAATAAATAAATAAATAAATAACATTAAAAGGTCAAATTAATATCAGGCATTAAAAAATTAACCATTTAGTTAGTCATGTTATATATTTTGTTAGCCTGCTTGTTAGTATTACCTAAGGACTTTAGCACTATAGGTAGTTCTTACAACCATTTGTTTCAGTTTGAAATTACAACAGCCTCGGAGAAAGCAACTTAAAACCCATCCTCAAAGTTATGATTGTCGCAACAGCCTCATAGTCAGTTGTTTGCAGATTGGGTGCTTGGCAATTGGCTTGTATTTATGACAATTGCAGTGTCCTGTGATCATATAATCACAGTTTGCAACTTCTCTATTACTGACCAGCAGAATCAATTGGAGAAGTTATTGTTTGCTTAATAGCCATGTGATTCTTTTAACAATTACATGATTCAGTTAATGACTGCAATAAAAATTGTCATGAAATCAGATCTGGTCACATGATAACATGACTGCATCGCTTAGTGACCAAAATTCCAGTCCCAATTGTGGTTGTAAATTGAGGACTACCAGTATCTATCCTGGATTTGAAAGAAAACAGCAACAGGAATAGCGCTTAGACTTATATACAGCTTCACAATGCTTTCTAGCCTGTAAACTAAGCAGTTTACAGAGTCAGCCTATTGACCCCAACACTCTGAGTCCTCATTTTACCAACCTCGGAAGGATGGAAGGCTGAGTCAACCTTGAGCCTGGTGAGAATCAAACTCCAGACTATGGACAGAGTTTGCTTGTAATACTGCATTCTAACCACTGGACCATCAGGGTTCCTAAATGAAAAATAAGTTTTTAATATATTCACATTCGTTAAGATGTTACTATGTAACATTTCAAAGACAACACCTGGCCATTTTTTATCTATCTATCTATCTATCTATCTATCTATCTATCTATCTATCTATCTATCTAGTTAGCTAGCTAGCTAGCTAGCTAGCTAGTATCTGTGAATAGGTAGGTAGGTAGATGGATGGATGGATGGAGAGGAAGGGAGGGAGGGAGAGAGAGAGGGTGGGGGGAGAGAGAGAGAGAGGATAGATGTTTATAAGAGTACAAAGAAGTAAAGAACCAAACTGAGAATTTCAGGGTAATAAAAACAGCCTGCATCATGAAAAGAAAACCGACTGAAAAAGTGCAATAGAAAAAAGCAGATTTTCTTAATGTGAGAATTGGGGTACTAGCTTTTCCCTCCTTTTCCCACTTTAATATTCTTATGCTTATGGAAATTGATACATCCCTAAGATGTCCACCTCCTGCAGGTTCTCATTAGGGTCTTATTCTATTCTGATCTTTTTTTGAATGCATGCTTGGTTCTAAGCCAGCTTGATAAAGGGAGAGACAAAGGCAAATTTCATCCTTGTTTAAAGACCAGCATCCTCTGCTCTTGCTTCAACAGCCAACCTGGCTACCACCGACATCATTTTCCTGGTTTGTTGCGTTCCCTTCACTGCAATGCTGTATCCACTTCCGGGATGGATCTTTGGAGAATTCCTATGTAAATTTGTCAACTACATTCAACAGGTGAGCAATGTCTGAATTTGGAAACTTCTCTCTTCAAGTCTTTTTTTTTTCCTATAGGGATTTCTAGCTAATTTGAAGTGCCATATCAGAATTGTGGTATCTCGTACCTTCTCAGCTCAGAAATATAAAACTCTAGCTCCGTGATGGCAAACCTATGGCACGTGTGCCACAGGTGGCACGCAGAGCCATATCTGTGGGCACACGAGTGTTGCCCTAGCTCAGCTCCAGCATGCATGCGTGCTCCGGCCAGCTGATTTTCAGGCCTTTCGGGCCCACCGGAAGTCGGGAAACAGGCCTCCCCAGGCTCCTAGAGAGCCTCTGGAGCCTGGGGAGGGCAAAAAATGGGCCTTTCGGGCTCACCATGCCATCGCGTGCCAAAACCGGAGGGGAGCACCGGGGAGTCATGCATGCATTCATCGGGGGCGGGGCACATTGAATTATGGGTATGGGCACGCGCACACTCAACCCCTCCACGCTCCTCCCCGGTTTTGGCATGCAGCGGCAAAAAGGTTAGCCATCACTGCTCTAGCTCATTTTGAAATCAGATCTTCAAAACAGCATCCACGATGAAGATCCTCATAAGGAGAACGGTATTATATTTCTGGGTCTGTGCCAGAGGTGTGTTTCAGCAGGTTCTGACCAGTTCTGGAGAACCGATAGCAGAAATTTTGAGTAGTTCGGAGAACTGGTAGTAAAAATTCTGACTGGCCCCGCCCCCATCTATTCTCTGTCTCCCGAGTCCCAGCTGATCGAGCGGAAATGGGGATTTTGTAGTATCCTTCCCCTGGAGTGAGGTGGGAATGGAGATTTTGTAGTATCCTTCCCCTGGAGTGGGGTGGGAATGGAGATTTTACAGTATCCTTCCCCTGCCACGCTCACCAAGTCACACTCACAGAACCGGTAGTAAAAAATTTTGAAACGCACTACTGATCCGTGCATAGATATGGGAAATACTGAATGAAAGTAGACCCTGTAGATACATACAGGTAATCCTCGACATATGACCACAATTGAGGCCAAGATTTATGTTGCTAAGTGAGACAGTTGTTAAATGGGCATTGTCCCATTTTACGATCTTTCTTGCCATAGTTGTTAAGTGAATCCTTACACTTGTTAAGTTAATAACACAGTTGTTAAGTGAATCTGGCTGGAATATGAGTTGAACCACTTCGCAAGCATTCAAATGACCCTGGGGATGTTGCAACAGTCATAAGTCTTTTTTTTCCAGTGCGTTCCAACTTTGAACAGTCACTAAATAAATGATTGTAAGTTGAGGACTACCCAGTGGTGAAATCCATTTTTTTTTACTACCGGTTCTGTGGGCGTGCTTGGTGGGTGTGGCTTGGTGGGCATGGCAGGGGAAGGATATTGCAAAATCTCCATTCCCACCCCACTCTGGGGCCAGCCAGAGGTGGTATTTGCCAGTTCTCCGAACTACTCAAAATTTCCGCTACCGGTTCTCCAAAACCTGTCAGAACCTGCTGGATTTCACCCCTGGGACTACCTGTACTGTATCTGTTGTGAATCAGTGCTGTTTGTGTGTGAGTGTAAGTTCCCATCAGTATAATATTGATATATACAGGTAATCCTTTATTTAATGTATTTATTAAATTAAATAATTTAAGTAAGAATGACCTGTTCATAAGCATGTTGTCATGGTATGTCAAAGTTGACACATTATCATGCCCCCGTCGGAGTCTGAATCTGAGACGGAAGACGAACAGCTGACAGAGAACGGGAGAGTGGCTCCATTGGCTGTGGAGGAAACTGGGGAAGGGCAAAGTCAGGCTAGGCAGAGTAGGGGAGAGGTAGAACAAGGGAGAGGGATGAACACCAAGGCCCACCCCTCCTTATCTTAGGGCACGCAGGGATGAATGCAGAAGAGAGCAACATGGATTGCGTGGCTTACGAGGAATGAAAGGGCCCAATTCCCTTCACAAGGCACACCTGGGGATGGAGTTTAAAGGAGAGGCAGTTGGGAGGGGTGTTTGTCAGGAACAAACACTGAATTCATCTAGTGGGGCCTGCATTCCTGGCATTCCTCCTGACTATTTGAATTATAATCATGCTTCTGTGTGCTTATCTTGTCTTACTGGAATTATTGCTGCTTTTGGGACTCATTATCTTGCCCCGCTGGAGTGATTGATTTGCAGTCATTCTTCCTACACCGTTTGGACTGGAGTATCTGCGGACAGAAGCTGCTGCAGGTTTGTGGGAGAGCTTTTCTCCAGGTTGGAGAGTAAACGGGATGTTGGGAGCAAATTTGGTGCCAATAAAGGGATTTATACCGGTTCTCTGGCTGTTTTGCCTTCATGCCACGGCCCGGGTCATCACACACATGCTTTTCATTCTCCTTCAGGTTTGCTTGCTGTTCTAGTTTCTATCTAGAAAGAGAGCTTATATTTTAACTTTACACTCAGAAAATAGTTAATTCATGGATCTGATGTGAAACACACCTCTCTCTGCCTATTATCCAGAGGAGATCCTACCAATCAGAGCAGAGGGATAAAAAGATAAATTGTTTGTAGCCTAGTAGAGAGCAATGTCTTCAGTAATGATAAAGGTGAAAACAGTTATTCATACAGAGTGGCAGAGGGCAGCCTCCACTTAGCAAAACTGCTGTAGTTCTGCATTAGGCATGACCAAGTGTTCTAATGATGCTCAATGCAAAAAAACCAGGGCAAAATAAATAAAAATGTTGGTAGTGATTATGAGATTAAAGACACATCCACATCAGTGGTGGGTTTCTACTGGTTCGCCCCAGTTCGGGCACCCCAGCAGTAGCGGCGGCAGGAAGCTGCACCCACCTTCTGTGGGCGTGGCTTATTTTGTGGGCATGGCTTGATGGTCATGTGACAATTCTTTAGGATTTAGCAGAGGTACTGGTCTATCAGGCTTTTAACAGCTTGCAGAGTTGTACCAGTCTACCCGTTTGTTCTTGGAGTGTTCTGGTCTACTCATTTGTTTTTGGAGGCACCGATCTACCCATTTGTTTTTGGAGGCCCCGGTCTACTCATTTGTTTTTGGAGGCCCCGGCCTACCCATTTGTTTTTGGAGACCCCGGTCTACTCATTTGTTTTGGGAGGCCCTGGTCTACCCATTTGTTTTTGGAGGCACCGGTCTACCCATTTGTTTTTGGAGGCACCAGTCTACCCATTTGTTTTTGGAGGCACCGGTCTACCCATTTGTTTTTGGAGGCACTGGTCTACTCATTTGTTTTTGGAGACTCCAGTCTACCCATTTGTTTTTGGAGACTCCAGTCTACCCATTTGTTTTTGGAGGCACCGGTCTACCCATTTGTTTTTGGAGGCACCGGTCTACTCATTTGTTTTTGGAGGCACCAGTCTACCCATTTGTTTTTGGAGACTCCAGTCTACCCATTTGTTTTTGGAGACCCCAGTCTACTCATTTGTTTTTGGAGGCACCGGTCTACCCATTTGTTTTTGGAGGCACCGGTCTACTCATTTGTTTTTGGAGGCACCGGTCTACCCATTTGTTTTTGGAGACCCCGGTCTACTCATTTGTTTTTGGAGGCACTGGTCTACTCATTTGTTTTTGGAGGCACGGTCTACCCATTTGTTTTTGGAGGCACCGGTCTACTCATTTGTTTTTGGAGGCACCGGTCTACCCATTTGTTTTTGGAGGCACCGGTCTACCCATTTGTTTTTCGAGGCACCGGTCTATCCATTTGTTTTTGGAGGCCCCGGACTACCCATTTGTTTTTGGAGGCACCGGTCTACTCATATGTTTTTGGAGGCACCGGTCTTTGTTTTTGGAGGCACCGGTCTACTCATTCGTTTTTGGAGGCACCGGTCTACCACCACACTGCCTTTTAACATTGATCAGCTGTAGAGCGGCCCTTTGAAGCCCCAGGACAAGAGTTTAAACAGTTTTTTTCCTTCTAGCCGATCAGCTGGGAGACAGCAATAGATTGGAGGTGGGGCCAAATAAAAGGTAAGAATAATGCGGTGGGGGCGGGAGGGCCCAGCTCCCGAACAAAGAGAACCGGTTCGGTGACATCATATCGTCACCGCTACCGGAGGTCTAGCAGCAATGATGTTACCTAGTTTCGGTAATGAAACGTCTATAAGAAAACAAGCAAGCTCAGAGAGCAGCAAGGACCCCTCAGAAGATCCCCACCCTCATGTTGCTTGTCCTCCTGGCTTTCGGTTTCCTATTTAATTTTCTTAATTTTAATCTCTTTGTACAAGTAGCCCTCGACTTATGATTGTCCCTTAGGGACCGTTCAAAGTTATAACAAAAGCTACTTAGGGTCCCATTTTGAAGTTACAACAGCTACACACAACCACATACACCGGTTTCCGGCCAAAACCAACTATTGCATAAAATTGATTCACTTAACAACCATTCCATTCACTTAAAGCCCACCATGTTTGCTTAACGACTGCTGCTAAAACGATCATAAAATCAGGTCTGATCGTGTGATCCACTTAATGACTACAACGACTTACAAATATAATTCTGAGTTCAATTACGATCATAAGTCGAGAATTACCTGTATTGTCTTTTTTATCTTTATATCATTCTGTAATCCACCCATAGTCAGTGGAATATACATTTAACAAACAATAGCTTTCTATGGACTATCATGGAAAGGGCAAGAATTTTGTGGACTAGGTGCAGCAGTCTTCCAATATCTCAGGGGCTGCCACAAAGAAGAGCGGAGTCAACCTATTCTCCAAAGCACCTGAGGGCAGGACAAGAAGCAATGGATGGAAACTAATCAAGGAGAGAAGCATATTAGAACTAAGGAGGAATTTCCTGACAGTGAGAACAATTAATAAGTGGAACAACTTGCACAGCAAGTTGGGGGTGCTCCAACACTGTTTCCAGGGCGGCCCCATGGGCCAGATCTAAGCACCCCGTAGGCCGAATCCAGCCTGCAGGCCTTGTGTTTGACACCCCGTCCCCTATCCTATACCATTTCAGACAAATGGTTGTCCAATGTTTTCTTAAAAACTTCCAGTGTTGGAACATTCACAACTTCTGGAGGCAAGTTGTTCCACTGATTAATTGTTCTAACTGTCAGGAAATTTCTCCTTAGTTCTAGGTTGCTTCTCTCCTTGATTAGTTTCCATCCATTGCTTCTTGTTCTGTTTTCAGATGCTTTGGAGAATTGCTTGACTCCCTCTTCTTTGTGGCAACCCAGAGATATCGGAACACGGCTATCATGTCTCCCCTAGTCCTTCTTTTCATTAAACTAGACATTCCCAATTACAGCAACCGTTCTTTATATATTTTAGCCTTTATGTTTAATCATCTGTGTTGCTCTTTGTTGTTGTACTCTTCTCTGTACTCTTTCTAGAGGCACAACAAATTTTTACATTGTGGCAACCAGAACTAGATGCAGTATTCCAAGTGTGGCCTTACCAAGGCATTATAAAGTGGTATTAACACTTCATGTGATCTTGATTCTATTCCTCTGTTTATGCAGCCTAGAACTGTGTTGGCTTTTTTGGCAGCTGCTGCACACTTCTGGCTCATATTTAAATGGTTGTCCACTAAGACTCCAAGATCCCTCTCACAGTTACTACTATTGAGCAAGGTACCACCTAAAGTTTACCTGGTCATTTTGTTTTGTTTTTCAAATCCCTTGATTTGGCTCCATAGGTCTCGGTGCAAGCGACCTGCGTCACCCTGACGGCCATGAGTGTGGACCGGTGGTATGTGACTGTCTTTCCACTTCGATCCCTGCGACGGCGCACACCACAAGTTGCCATAACCGTCAGCATCAGCATTTGGGTTGGTGAGTAGGGGCAGCCTCCAGGGTCAGTTAGAATTGTTCACAAACATGATCAAATAACTGAATGTCCTTTATCTGGGCAAAAACATCTGCTATGAAGTATAATTTTTGAGAAAAAACTAATGAATACCTGCTGTCAGGTGTTTATTATAACTAATTAATACCTGACGTGTGCCATGTATCATACTTACTGCCAATGATAGCTCCGTTACCATTCAGATAATACATAAAGTCCTCCCAATTGAAAACTGGTAGAATTGTGGTTCTTGCTTTTAATGTTTCAATATACAACAACTTGCAATTCAAGGTTGTCTTTGCAACCATGTGTCTGAAGCCCACATGCGCCCTTCTTTGTGAGCGCATGTGAAAAGGGGGCAGGGCCAGGGGTGGGATTGAAAAATTTAACAACCAGTTCGCTGCCTGGTTGCTGGGTGGGCGTGGCCATGGGGGTGTGGCCTACTCGGTCTCCTGCACCATGGGGTGGGGTGTTTTCACCCTCCCGAGGCTCTGGAGGCTTTCCTCAAGCCTCCAGGAGGGTGAAAATGGCCTCCCCTGGGCTTTGGAAGCCCTCCGGAGGCCAGAAACAGGCCTCTTTCCGGATTTCCGGTACTTCCGGTAGGCCCGTTTTTCACCCTCCGGAGGCTCCAGAGGCTTTCTTCGAGCCTCCAGGAGGGCAAAAACGGCCTCCTCAGAGCACCAGAGGCCCGAAACGGGCCTATTTTTCACCCTCCCAGAGCCTCCGCACGGTCCCTGCATTTACCTCGTATCCAAAACGGGCCACATGGAGACTCCTGGGCAGGGAAGGGTGGGTGAGGTCAACCAGTCCTTGTAACTACCGGTTCGGCGAACCAGATTAAAATTAACATCCAAACTGGCTGAATCCCACCCCTGGGCGGGGCTTTGACTGAATAGTTGTGGCCACCATCTTGACTTTCTTGTCTGCCTCCCTGCAGACAACTCCAATTCTAATTTTATACACAAACCACTTCTAACATGGCGTTTCAAGATGTCCACTTCTCATTTGTTGGATTCTTTAAGGTTTTCTAGTATTGAGCAATTATTGTTTTAGCTGCTATGTTTAAGCAAGCAATACATTCTTATTTTAAACCTAAGCATCAATGGCATATAATTATTATACGTCATTGTTTCTCAACCTTGGCAAGAGCTGTGGTGATGCAGTGGTTAGAATGAAGTACTGCAGGCTAATTCTGCATTCCCACCGCCAGAAGTTCGATCTTGACCAGCTCAAGGTTGACTCAGCCTTTCATAATTCCGAGGTGGGTAAAATGAGGACCCAGATTGGGGGGCAATATGCTGACACTGTAAACCACTTAGAGAAGGCTGTAAAGCACTGTGAAGCGGTATATAAATCTAAGTGCTATTGCTGTTAAGACCCCATGCTGGCTGGGGTATTCTGCGAGTTGAAATACATGCATCTTAAACTAACCGAGGTTGAAAAACAGTGCTATAGATCAGGGGTCTCCAACCTTGGCAACTTTAAGCCTGGAGGACTCCAAAACTGGCTGGGGAATTCTGGGAGTTGAAGTCCACCAGGCTTAAAGTTGCCAAGGTTGGAGATCCCTGCTCTAGATCCACTGGGCTGCTCAATAGACAACGTCTCTTTTTAACCAAATGTCTCCATGCTTCATGGCTACATTTCTGCAGTTTCCTTGGTGACAGAGTTGAAATGATTTGTTATCCGCTTCCAAGTTGCTTTTCGACTGCCAAGCCAATCCTCGGTCTGTAGGCTAATCTGGCCAGTTGAAAAGCATCTTGGAAGCTGTGGGATCCTCAACGGCAGGAGCTAAATGAGGAAATCAACATTTTGCCATTGCAACACAACCAGTAACAGCATAACAGAGTTGGAAGGACCATGGAGATCTCCTGTCCTTTTTGTAGGTATGTGATGCCAAAGCTTACGGGGCATTAACGCTACTCAGCTTTCCATCCTTCCAAGGTCAGTAAAATGAGGACCCAGATTGTTGTGGGGCAATACGCTGACTCTGTAAACCGAACAGGGGTATCAAACTCCATTTCACTGATGGCCTCATCAGGATTATGTTTGACCTTGGTGGGCCAGGGTGGGCGTAGCCAGAGTGAATGTGGCCAGCTCGACATCACTTGTGTTGGGGATGCCTGTGGGGGCCCGAGCACTCTGCCAACAAAAACAGGCTCCTAAGCTCCATTTTTGACTGCGATGGCCTCCTGCAACCCACTGCCAGGGAAAACAGAGGTCAGGAACGACCCCACAGCCCTCCTGAGCTCCGTTTTTGCTGGCAGAGGCACTGCGGACCGGTCCTTCACTGTTTCCAGGGCAGATCTAAGCATTTCGCATCCAGCCCGTGGGCCTTGAGTTTGACACACCTGGCTTAGGGAATACTATAATGCGCTATGGAGCAGCATATAAATTTTAAGTGCTATTGCTATTCGAAATATAAATTAAATGTGAAAACTTTGTATCGACAGGAGGTGGCACCATCAATCACTGTAGCACAGCAAACCCTTACTAATGTTAATACAATTGTAAGGTGACCAACTTTTTTACAATGAGAAGGAGGACACAAATAAATTGAAGAAAAAAAATATCGTAAATAAAAGAAACATTTTATTCATTGCAACAATGAGTCTAATGCAGGCGTGCGGGCGTGTGTGCCGTGTCGTGTTTCGGTAAGAAGTACATAAAGCCACTTGCGTGCGGCGCACTCTCTCAAAACAATTCTCCAGTGCGGAGCACATGCATCTCATAATTGTGTCTCGCCACATTGTACCGAGCCTTGACGAATTATCGTGTCAAATACGTCACATCACACGCAACAGAGCGGATCGGCATCAATTGAATACGGAGATTTGCAGATTAGTCTTCAAATATTGAAAAGGAGGACATGTAGGAGGTCACTTTTCAAGAGGACAGAACTTACAAAAGAAAGACTGTCCTCTCTAAAGGAGGACGATTGGTCACCTTAACAATAGTAGTAGATAAGCCCATGGATGGTTATAGAGATAGGGCCTTAGTTGGACTGAACAAAAGGTGCCTTGGAGGCACACAGGAGTGCAAATTTAGCATCTGTCTGTAATGTCTTGTGGCAACTGATATTTTCCCCAGGAATTTATGAGCAATAGCAACTTAGAAATTGAATTCCAAGCATTGTACAACTCTTAAGAGATATCTGATAGCATCACCGTAAAGGAATGTCAGTGGCATTCCTGGACACTCTGGGCAAACTTTGGAACAGCTTGATTCCAGATGCATTTCAGTGCCCAGAATTGCTTTTGTGGAGTCTTTGGTGCTCTCTGAGCTTGGTTGTTTGCTTGCAGATGTGTCATTACCACACCAGGTTGCCTCTGCAGTGCAAACAACCAAGCTCGGAGATCACCAAGGACTCTTCAAATTTAACCCTGAGCTACAGGTCTTCTATTAGAATTCCTTTTGGTTAGATAGATGGTTATATAAATTTTTGAATGAATGAAACGGATTAATGTTTCTTTGTACAGGCAAAGAACAGGTAAGTCCTCGATTTACCACTGTGACGGAGCCTGCCCATTAGTCGTAATGGTCATCACTGATTTTTCAACCTTTTTTTACAATGGTTATTGTTCTTGTTCTTTATGTACACTGAGAGCTTATGCACCAAAGACAAATTCCTTGTGTGTCCAATCACATTTGGTCAATAAAGAATTCTATTCTATTCTATTCTGTTCTGTTCTGTTCTGTTCTGTTCTAATTCTATTCTATAAACAGCATGGCCATTAAGTGAACCAATTGTTTGCTAATGTTTCTTTTTCACAATCACCATCATGGGACTAGGTTGCCTCTTCTCGTGCTAGCTAATGGTCAGTACAGGTAGTCCTCGACTTACGACCACAAGTGAGCCCAAGATTTCTGTTGCTAACAGAGACAGTTGTTTCTTGCCACAGTTGTTAAGTGAAATCACTGCAGTTGTTAAGTGAATAACATCGTCGTTCCGTGAATCTGGCTTCCCCATTGATTTTGCTTGTTGGGTCGCAAAAAGTGATCGCATAACCCTGGGACACTGCAACCATCATAAATACGAACCAATTGACGATTATCTGAATTTTGGTTATGTGACCACGGGGATGCTGCAACAGTTCTAAGTGTAAAAAATGGTCATAAGTCACCTTTTTCAGTGCTGTTGTAATTTTAAGCGGTCCCTAAATGAATGGTTGTAAGTTGAGGACTACCACTATCAACAAATGGACAAATAAAGACCTCCACAGCAGGAGGCGGGATAGAGTTGACAGTCTTCATCCTGGGTCTTTCCCTTCACAGGTTCCTTCCTTGTCTCCATCCCCGTGCTGATTTACAACCGGCTGATAGAAGGCTATTGGTTTGGTCCGCAAACGTTCTGCAGCGAGTCCTTCCCTTCCGTGTACCATGAGAGAGCCTTTATCCTGTACAACTTTTTAGCGGTTTACCTCCTCCCTTTATTGACCATTCTCCTCTGCTATAGTGCTATGCTTTACCAGATGGGACACCCCACCGTGGCGCCAGCTTCTGATAACCATTGCCAGGTACTTATAAGCCAGTGATGGTGAACCTTTTCCACACCGAGTGCTGAAAAGGGAGTGTGTGCATGCTACTGTTCTGTCCCCGTCTCACACACGCACACAGACAAATAGCCAGCGGTTAAATAAAACTGGCAGACAACAAATTCTTTCGATAAGAGGATTGGCAGGAACCCAGTAGCTGCTTGCCAAGAACTTTACTCATAGAGGGAGGGGGTGTTCCTCTGACAGATAAACCCAAACAAGATACATACAGTTCAAGAATTGTCAAATCCAGTCTGTATTAAATCCAAGGCAGATAACGTTGTTTCAAAGATACAATGTGACTCGCTAGTAGTTAGTTTTGTCCATCACAGAATCTGAATGGCCACCTCACCCCCTTTTATCCCCTGTGGGGTGTGGTCCAGTGACTCAGCTTAATCTCTGGCATGCCTCCTTTTCTGCTGCATGCGCTTGTCTCTCCGACGCTGGCGTGGATCCAGCCAAGACTTATCTCCGTCACTGTCAGACTGCGAGGAGATACCTGGCTCCTGGCCAATCTCTTGTCCTTTGGGAGACACCTGAGGCATTGCCAGAGAGGAGGGTCCTGGAGGGAGAGGCCTGGCCAACTCCTCTCCTTCATGTTTGGAGCCTTCTCCCTCCGATAAGTCGACCTCGGGGGTCGGAGTCACAACAGCTACACCAAGTGCCAAAAATGGAGCATGCGCATGCATGCCCACTCCTCAGGGCCGCAACCAGGAAGAGGAGCTGCCCAGGGGGCATGTGCGCACTGGATAAGATACTTCTGGTTTCCGGCAACAAGCAAATCTTTCGGTTACTGCCACGTATGCGCACGCACTGATCAGCTGGCCAGCACACATGCTCACGCCGGAAAATGAAAGACCAGCTCTTCCGGTTTCTGGCACTGCCGCATGCAAAAAGGCCAGCTGATCATTGCGTGCCATAGGGCACGTGTGCCATAGGTTCACCATCACCGTTATAAACTGTATGTTGTATCCGGGATAAACTGGATGTGAGATGAAATAACTTAATTTTTTTTTTAAAAAAAGGATGAGATGGTTAAATAGTGTCATTGATATGGTGAACATATCAAATCTGCCATCATACCACTTCAGCTGTACTTTGCTTTGATGGCAGTCTGCCATAAACTGCAGTGGGAGGTGGGGGAGAAAGGATACTGGGAGTGGGGGAATGACAGTAACCGGAAGTGCCAACCCTAGACAAGAGTTGAATGATCCAAGGACACAGGCATGGGAAAGAATGCGAACACCCACCAAAGAGGTGCCGACCTCAGGACTGTTACCAAAAACAACTAATTTGAACTTTGTTGGATAATAGCAAAAGGACGAAGGAAGAAGGGAAAATTATTCGGTTTACGCGAGAAGTTTCAGATCTGGCTTTTCTTATGTTGTAACCATTTTTTTTTTTATTGATTTATATGCCGCCCTTCTCCAGAGACTCAGGGCGGCTTACAGTGCATTAAGCAATAGCCTTCATACTTTTGTATATTTTTATACAAAGTCAGCTTATTGCCCCCACAAACTGGGTCCTTAATTTACCTACCTTAGAAAGGATGGAAGGCTGAGTCAACCTTGAGCCTGGCGAGATTCGATCTTACTTTAATTGCAGACAGCTGGTGTTAAATTACAGTGCTTAGTCTGTTGAGCTATCCAGGCTCAACAGACACTTGGCTTTAGTAAAAGTATATCTGTCGCTACGAATGGAGTTGAGAGTCTTTCTTTCCTAAACGCCCAAGCTGGGACAGTCTGACAGGTTTGGACAGACTTTGGGAGACAGTGGAGGACAGGGGCACCTGGCACGCTGCATCCATGGAGTCGCAGGGAGTTGGACACGACTTAGCGACTGAACAACAAGAAGAGTAGACTTAAACCTGGGCATTTCAGTCCAATATTTCAATGACGCCATACTATCTCTCTACCTTCCTTTTCATTGGGGTCACCTCTTCCTCCTCCTTTTTGTGCCCCGATATAGGTACGGCAGCTGGCAGAATTCTCTGAAGCTCTGCGGGCCAAGATCTCTCGTATGGTGGCCATCATCATTGCTCTCTTCACCATTTGCTGGGGTCCGGTGCAACTTCTGATCCTCTTCCAAGCCTTTGACTCCACCTTTCAACACAGTTACTATACTTATAAGGTGAAGATTTTTGCTCACTGCATGTCCTATGCCAATTCTGCCCTCAACCCCATTGTCTACGCCTTCATGGGCACTAATTTTCGGAAGGCCTTCAAGAAAGTTTTCCCACTGGCCTTCAAGAAGAGGGTGGGTAATTGCAACATCGCTGGCCGGGCCCACCTTAATACCGAGATGCACTTTGTCTCATCAGGGATGTAGGTTTAAAATAAGTACTTTTCCTGCACAGGTAGTCCTTGACTTACAATCATTTGTTTAGTGACCATTTGAAGTTACCAAGGCACTGAAAAAAGTGACTTATGACCATTTTCCAAACTTATGACCATTGCAGCCTCCCCATGGTCACATGATTTACAATCGGATGCTGGACAACTGACTCAGATTTATGACAGTTGCAATGTCCCGGCATCATGTGATCACTTTTTGCTTCTAAGTCAATGAGGAAGTCAGATTTACTTAACAACCATGTTGCTAACTGAACAACTGCAGTGTTTAGTTGTGCAACAACCAATGCACAAAAAGCCGTAAAATGGGACAAAAACTCACTTAACAAATGTCTCACTTAATAAGAAGTATTTTGGGTTCAATTGTGGTTGTAAGTTGAGGACTACCTGTAAAGTGTTTTGCCTTCCAGTGGATCCTATGGTGTCCTGCGTTTAAGGTGCAGTGGAGGACTCGTGATTATTCAAATCTCATTGGAGTCCACTTGCCAATGCCCCAGTAGTATGACCAATAGTGAGAGATGCTGTAAGATGTAGTCCAATAACAGTCAAGTCGCACATATGTAACAAACTCAGGAAACGAGAACAGCCATAGATTTCAGACTGATAGCTTTCATGCTAGTCGGGAATAAAAACATAATATCTTAAAAACTGTAAGAATAAAGGGAGACTTAAACCAACTAACGCAGAATCTCTCTGAAATGTTTCTTTTTCACAATCACCATCATGGGACTAGGTTGCCTCTTCTCGTGCTAGCTAATGGTCAGTACAGGTAGTCCTCGACTTATGATCATAATTGAGCCCAAAATTTCTGTTGTGAAGTTACGTTAAGTGACTTGTTACATTAAGTGATTTGTTAAGTGAGTTTTGCCCCATTTTATGACCTTGTTGAGTGAATCACTGCAGTTGATGAGTTAGTAGCATGGTTATTACATAAATCTGCCTTCCCCGTTGACTTCTTTGCTTGTCAGAAGTTTGCAAAAGGTGGATCATGTTACCCTGGGACCAGGGGTGAAATCCAGCAGGTTCTGACAAGTTCTGGAGAACTGGTAGCGGAAATTTTGAGTAGTTTGGAAAATGGGCAAATACCACTTCTGGCTGGTCCCAGAGTGGGGAGGAAATGGGGATTTTGCAGTATCCTTCCCCCAGGAGTGAGGTGGGAATGGAGATTTTATAGTATCCTTCCCCTGCCACACCCACCAAGCCACCCTCACCAAGCCACACCATGCCCACTAAGCCACACCCACAGAACCGGTAGTAAAAAAAATTGAATTTCACCACTGCTTGGGACACAGCAACAGTCATAAATACGAACCAGTTGCCAAGCATCTGAATTTTAATCACATGATCACATGATGATGCTGCAAAGCTCGTAACTGTGAAACACTGTCATAAGTCACTTTTTTCAGTGCCGATGTAACTTTGAACAGTCACTTAAACAAACTGTTGTAAATCGAGGACTACTTGTACAGATTCCCTATCCCTGGATTAAGGAAATTTGGCTCGAAATTGCTATTCAGTCTATGGCGTCTGGGTAAATCATGGGCCAATCATACAAACGTCACTTTTTCCCACTGCCGGCCCTTTCCAGGTTGATCAGGTCAAGAAAGCTCACAAAAATACTAAAGCACTAATACTTATTGATACTGGCTAGATTAGATCCTTGAAATCTTGATAGTGTTTCTCTTTCCCTCATCTTATACCTATGACAGCCCTGACTAACTTGAAGGGACAAAAGAAAAGTACTTTATAAAGTTAGAAACCGCCGCCCTCCCCCCAGGCGTGAGAACATGTGCTGAAGTTTCTGCTGGAATAAAATAATTCCAGCATCTTGCCTAAATTCTAGGACTTTGGGGATGTCATAACATCCTATTCCACTAGATGTCAATATTTCCTAATCAAATTGATTTCCCAGTTCAACAACACAAATCAACTAGAGAAGTTTTGTATTTTCAGATGAAATTGGAGTAACTCATTGTTTCCTAGTCAAAAGTAACTCTTTTTTAAGATAGAGATAGTCCTAGCTCAGGGCTCTGCAACCTTAAACATTCAAAGAGCCATTTGGACCTGTTTCCCACAGAAAAGAAAACACCGGGAGCCACAAAACCCTTCCCATGCCTGACTACCTCTTGAGCGGCCACAAAACTAGCATATGTGGTTAAATTAAACGTTTTGTTTTCTTCTGAAACTTTTCTTTTCTTGGATTTATCCATGGTTGGCCTACCGGAGGTTGAAAAGCTCAATAAATCGCGTGTGGCGGGTTCGCACATTGGCAGTTGCGACGCATATTTTGAGTGACAGGGAGCCGCAGCAGAGGGGTGAAAGAGACACATGCGGCTCCAGAGCTGCAGGTTGCTGACTTCTGTCCTAGCTTATGACCACAACTGAGCCCAACATTGCCTTTGCTAAGGAAAACAGTTGTTAAGTAGGTTGCACGCAATGTTACAACCTGCTTGTCACCGTCGTTAAGCCAAACATGGAGTCATTAAGCGAATCTGGCTTCCCCCACTGACTTTGCTTGTTGGAAGCCAGCGGGGAAAGTTACAAAGGGTGATCACATGTCCCCATGGGGGATGCTGCAATTGTCATAAATAAATGCCAAGCCCCTGAATTTTGATCACATGACCATGGGGATACTGCACCGGTTGTGAAAAATACACATAAGTCACTTTTTTAGTGCCGTTGTAACTTTGAAGAGTCGTTACATGAACGGCTGTAAGTCGAGGACTACCTGTACAACAAATGTCAAAAAAGGCATGATATTGGGAGTAATGGATCAGGATGGGATAAAGGTGTATACCTTTAGCATACATTAATACTAGAGGGAAAGAGTTATTTAAGCTGTAAGAAATCTTAGTTGGTTAACCAAATTTTTTTTTATCAGCTAATAATATGCACACTACTAATGAGCCGTGGTGGCGCCGTGGTTAGAATGCAGTATTGCAGGCTAACTCTGCCGACTGCCAGGAGTTCGATCCTGACCAGCTCAAGGTTGACGCAGCCTACCATCCTTCCGAGGTCAATAAAATGAGGGCCCAGATTGTTGGGGGCAATAGGCTGATATTTGTAAGCCACTCAGAGAGTGCTGTGAAACACTATGAGACGGTATACAGGTAGTCCTCAACTTATAACAGTTCATTTAGTGACTGTTTGAAGTTACAGCGTGTTAGGAAATTGTTATTACCCAACTGGTTGGTCAGGAAATATATTTCATTTTCATTTCATTTATTGGATTTGTATACCGCCCTACTCCCGAAGGACTCAGGGCAGTGAACAGCCACAAAATAAAACACATAAATACAAAATTTAAAAACAGAATAAAACCGAATTAAACAATTTGGCCAAGACAAATTTAAAACACCCAATAATTTTAAAAACAAATTAAAATTTACATTTTAAAGGGGAAAGATTTAGGCCAGCCGGCTTGATGGAATAAAAAAGTCTTGAGAGCGCGACGGAAGGTGCGCAGATCCGGGATCCTCCGTATCTCCGGGGGGAGCTCATTCCAGATAGTAGGTGCCCCCACAGAGAAGGCTCTCCCCCTGGGGGCCGCCAGTCGACATTGTTTGGCCGACGGCACCCGGAGGAGCCCCTCCCTATGAGAGCGTACCAGTCGGTGGGAGGCTATTGGTGGTAGCAGGTGGTCCCGTAAATAACCAGGTCCTAAGCCATGGAGTGCTCTAAAGGTGATAACCAAAACCTTGAAGCGCACCCGGAAGACCACCGGGAGCCAGTGCAGCTCGCGCAGGAGATGTTACATGGGAACGCCATGTCGCTCCCATAACCACCCGCGCAGCCGCACTCTGCGCCAGTTGGAGCCTCCGAGTGCTCCTCAAGGGGAGCCCCATGTAGAGAGCGTTGCAGTAGTCCAGGAGGGAGGTGACGAGGGCATGAGTGACTGTGCGTAAGGAATTTATAAACCAACATTGTGTGTTTGTAATTAAAAGTATTATGTAGCTTTAAAAAGTGTGTTGCATCATCCTGCATCCTGATTGGCTGAGCTCTGTAGCCAATGTATTTAAGGAGAGCTAAATTATGGTTTGTGTGGACACTACACCATTTTACCTGCTGATATGCTTTAACTATTTTTATTATTTATTTTATTATTTATGCTTTAAATATGAGCCTGGATAGCTCAGCAGACTAATGCATTGTAATTTAACTCCAGCTGTCTGCAATTAGTAAGTTCGAATCTTGCCAGGCTCAAGGTTGACTCAGCCTTCCATCCTTTCTAAGGTAGATTAATTGAGGACCCAGTTTGTGGGGGCAATAAACTGACTTTGTAAAAATATACAAAAGTATGAAGGCTATTGCTTAACGCATTGTAAACTGCCCTGAGTCTCCGGAGAAGGGCGGCATATAAATCAAATTAAAAAAAAACAACCTCTAGATTTGATCTCTCTGCATGATCATTGTTTGGTCATGGCTATTTATTGCTTTTCTACTATTTATTGACTGTTTTTATATTGAACTGTGTTCCTGAATGAAACTAAAGAAGATCTGTTTTATTGTATTTTTCTACAACTGGTAAGAAGACTTTATATTGGAAAATATCCCTGGACTGATCTTTATCTCACTTTATATGTATATGACTTGGAATGTTTTTTGACTATGATTTTGCTTTTTCCCTAAAAATAAAATATTATCAAAACCCAGTTTGTTTGTATGTGAACTGTTATTATCCACAATCATTCTCAGTCACTTTCGTGCATAAACTCAAAGGGTACTCTGCTCAATAACCCACAACAAGAATATCCTTAACATATTAAGGATATTTTCATATCCTTAACATATTTTCAGCAGCACTGAAAAAAATGACTTATGACCATTTTTCACACTTATGACCATTGCAGCATCCCCATGGTCATGTGATTTACATTCAGATGCTTGACAACTGACTCGCATTTAGGACAAATGTTGCGAGAAAAGTCGTAAACTGGAGCAAAACTCACTGAACAAATTTCTCACTTAGCAACATAAATTTTGGGCTCAATTGTGGTCGTAAGTTGAAGACCACCTGTATAAGTGCTATTGCTATCACTAACGGAAGCAGTTGAAGACTAAGGCACAACGTTCTTGAACTCTGGATGGGGCATTCATGCACTACCTTGGAAGAGATGCTTATGCTTTCTAAAAACAATCCAGTCAGCATTTTTTTTACTGTGGCTCAGTGATTGAGGATGCCTTCTGGGCTGTGTTCCAATCCGCCTTTATTTCACAGGTTCAAACCCCATGGAACATCATCAGAATTAAAATGAATAACCGGGGCAGACCTGGTTTGGTGACGTCATATCGTCACTGCTACCGGCTCGGGAGAACCGGACCAAACTGGGAGGAACCCACCACTGGACGGAACCTCCCCAAAGGGACTTATGACCCAGTTTCAAAGTTCTGATGTTGATCCCCTCCAATCACATGACTACATTTTGAATCCTTGGCAACCAGTCCAAACATTTACACCTGTTTGTAGCCTCCTGTGACCACAATTTATGTTTTTGCTGGAAACCAGCGTTTACTTTTGGTTTCCCGCAAAAACCAGCCCACAGCAAACAATGGGTTTGCTTAACGACCATGGCATTCACTTAATGACTGCCACCAAAAAGGTCATAAAAATGGGTCCAGTCACATGGCGGCCCTCTTTACAACTGTCGCAAGTTATGGCTGTACCAATAAAAGACAATATTTGTAGGTTGAAATGAGGCGTCCTTGGTTCTCTCTTAGCTTCGTTGTTTTCTTGAAGACGCTTCATTATGGTGGCACAGTGGTTAGAATGCATACTGCAGGCTACTTCTGCTGACTGCCGGCTGCCTGCAATTTGGCAAATCGAATCTCACCAGGCTCAAGGTTGACTCAGCCTTCCATCCTTCCGAGGTTGGTAAAATAAGGAGCCAGATTGTTGGGGGCAATAGGCTGACTCTATAAACCGCTTAGAGAGGGCTGTAAAAGCACTGTGAAGTGGTATATAAGTCTAAATGCTATTGCTATTACACAAACTAGGTAACATCATCAGTGCTAATCAGTCTAGCACTGATGATATTACATAAACCAGCACTGATGATGTTACCAGGGCTGGGCTGCTGGGGGTTCGCAGGGGTTCGGGAGAATCTCTAGCTAAGATTCTGTGCAGTTTGGAGAACCCACAAATCCCACCTCTGGCTGGCCCCGCCCACCCCACCCCGCCCCTCCCAGGAGTCCCCACGTGGCCTGTTTTGGATGCAGGTAAGTGCAGGGTGCACGTGGAGGCTCAGGGAGGGCGAAAAAGGAGCCTACCGTAAGGTGACCAGACGTCCTGCTTTTGGCGGGACAGTCCCGCTTTTGAGCAATTTGTCCCGCGTCCCGCGGCGTTTCAAAAAAGTCCCGATTTTTCTTGAGCCCCAGCTGATGGCTAGAAGAAAAAAAAACTGTTTAAACTCTTGCCCGGGGCTTCAAAGGGCCGCCCTATAGGCAATCAGTGTAAAGCAGTTTTTTTTTCCCCTAGCTAAGCTGCAGAAACGAAACCGAAACCAGGGTCTTTGGTGCAGCGTGACAAAATGAGGCAGAGAGAGATTTATTTTTATTTTTATTTTTCCTCCCCAAAAAAGGTAGGTGAAAAACTGCAAACAATGGGAAATTTAGGAGGAGAGTTCAAGATTTTAAAACACAAAGGAAAAAAAGGACCCCTCACTTATAACCAGTGGTGGGATTCAGTAATTTAACAACCGGTTCTCTGCCCTAATAATTTCTTCCAATACCAGTTTGCCAAACTGCTCAGAAAGTTAACAACCGGTTCTCCCGAAGTGGTGCGAACCGGCTGAATCTCACCACTGCTTATAACTGTAATTGCCATGCTCAACTACAGTCATAACTCGAGGATGACCTATATAAGTGGCTAAGGTGCTGCACCAAGAGCAAAGAGACCCAGATTCTAGGGTCCAGAAGCCAGCTGGGTGACCTCCGGCCTAAAATCTGGTGGAGAAACAAAACTATTCAGGACCAATACTAGTAAGATAACTGCATCTTCTTCAACTGTTGGTCTTGCTAACTCATGATTATAGGAATTATAGTCCAACACAACAAGACTGAAAAAGTGCCAGTCTAGGAGAAGCTGCTCTATAGCTTGCTTCAATAGTCTTCCCCTGCTAATTTTATTAATAAAGATTTGTCGTTTTCCCTATTTGTACAGCATATTCAATTAAAACGAATATATTTAAAAGGAGTGGTGGGGTTAGGGTTAAGTTATGTTTTCCAAATGGGGCCATCTATTCCAACTCGAATTGAAACCTTTTTTGTTCCTGTATACAAACCTAGCAAATATAACCCACAGGATTCCAGTGAGGATAAAACTAAGATTCAGCAAATCTCTGAGCACACTGGGCAGGGCGTGAGATTGTTGTAAGGAAAAAAAAAAGGCAAAGAGAATAAATAATAAAATGCACCATATTGGCAAATCCGCCTTGAAGATCGAGAAATCCATCCAATGTCGGTGTTACACAATTATCTGTTTAAAGTCAAAATACCAGCTTTTGGTCTCTTCAGACCTGTTTTTGGAAGACAAAATGATGGGGTAGGAGGGGGAAATCACTCACCCCGGGACTCCTAGAAGTTGATAAGCTACTGACATTGCAATTTATGGCTCTGTAATTGTCCTGTTTTTTTTTAAGCACTGCTCCAATTTTAATTCTGCTCTCTTTCGCAATTCTTTCCTTCAACTGGTACCTTGTAAATAAAGAGCAAAATAAATTGTGATAAGACGGATCACTTTGTTGTTGTGTAATGGTGGAAAATCCCAGCTTTCCTTTCTGAATTGCTCTTCCTCTGAAGGGGGGGAGCTTTGGGGTCACCTTCAGGGGGTAAAGGAATTACAGATGTGGGTGACCCTCTTCAAAAGCCTCTCCCCACCTTAACCCAACCCATTCGATTTCCCTTTGAACTCTTGGAAGAGGGAACTTAATCCTGAGTCCAAAATCACACCAGGGTGAACAGTCTCTACCAAATTATTGGCAACTCTGGAAGATTGACAGTTCTTACCTCGTCAAGTCTTCTCCAATTTCTTCCTACTACTGTTATGAAATAGCATTTTTCCTCTTCCCCATCCTCTCTTTTCTCTCTTTTCTTTTCCCCCCATTTTTTTTCTCATAGAACACTCCTTTTTTAGAGAGTGCCTCATTTAGTGGCCATTTGCAGTTAGAATCATGATGAAAAACTAGTCCTTGCATTTGTGACCTTTTAGTTCTGTAAAGCAAAGGAACGCTGAAGTAAGATCAAAAGCACACTTGCAGTTTTCACTTTACTTAATGACATTTTGGGTCCCAACTGTGGTCCCTAAATGAGGACTACCTGTAGTTTCCTGGATATGTTTGGTCAACTTCATTACTCTGCAATATGAAAAGTGCTATTACATTTTTGGGGGGGTTACACAAATTTTCCAACATTATGATGCCTCCCTAATTACTCACACTTTCCAAATCAGAAAAGTCCACTTCTAAACATACATACACACAGAGAGAAATCATTTCTTGGTCAAAGTAAGTAAAAGCAAGCCTTTATGGATAATTTTATTGAAATATTTTTCTGTTTTACAAATTTTATTTCCCATTAAATAAAATGGATTCATGGAAGTTTACCTATCTCCTGCAAGAAATATTTTTCACTTACACTGAGAAATTAATACCTACTAAATTCTTTCCTTCTTTCCTTTCCTTCTTTCCTTTCCTTTCCTTTCCTTTCCTTTCCTTTCCTTTCCTTTCCTTTCCTTTCCTTTCCTTTCCTTTCCTTCCCTTCCCTTCCCTTCCCTTCCCTTTCCCTTTCCCTTTCCCTTCCCCTTCCCCTTTCCTTTCCACTTTGGAAAAGGTGGACAGAAGCTTTGGCTTGTCCCACCTTTGTTCACTTTTAAGCATGGAAATAAATTTATTCGGAAGAAAGAATAAAGCACTAGTGATTTCATGGAATTAGAAAAATTAACTATTGGTGGAAACCCTGCCACTGCTGAAGATATTTTGCAAACGAAATGGTTCTAAATTCCAATTTGGCTTTTTTTAAAAAAAAAAACTCACCCCATTTGAAGATTTAGCCATGCTAGAACTCTTGATGTTCTAGTGTTCTGTGTTCTTTCTTGACACAGAAAGATATCAAGAATTTATAATAAAATAGGTTACACTATTTCCTTCTTAAATTGCACTAATGCACATATATATTTGAAAGCCAGTTTCAGTGGTGGATTGCTACTGGTTCACCCCAGATCGGGATCATTTTGTGCATGTGCAAAAGTGTTGCACATGCGCGCAAGCGTGCCCATGCCCACGAGCAAACCGGTAGCAACAGGTTTTGAAACCTGCCCCTGGCCAGTTTGATGTAGTGTTAAGGCATTAGGCTAGAAACTGGGAGACTGTGAGTTCTAGTTCCACCTTGGGCATGAAGCTAGCTGGGTTACCTTGAGCCAGTCACTTTTTCTCAGTCCTACGGAGGCAATAGCACACCATTTCTGAAAAAAACTTGCCAAGGAAAACTGCAGAGACTTGTCCGGGCAGTGTCTTGAGAATCGGGACATGATTGAATGGAAGAATATATACAGGTAGTCCTTGACTCACAACTGTAATTGAGCCTGGCAGTTTATAATTGTTAAAGCATGATAGTTGCAAAGCAGGTCATCATCATGTGATGGATCCGATTTTACAAC